CCATTACCATAACGCCAACCGGAGCATCCCGTTGTCGTCGTCGTCTATCGGCAATGAACCAGTTACGGGTGTAATATAACGGGAGAAAGCGGCTCAAATATAATACGTTACGTGAACGCACGTAACTATGAAATGTATGTATATATATATAATATAATGAACACCCGCGCGCCATCAGTGCTCGAGCGTTGGCAAGAGAGCGCGCGGGACGTGGAAGGGGCCTCTCTCGCCGCCGCCCCGTTCACTTTTTTTTTGCAATGACACGATTTTGGCCGTAATGGATTTTCCACCGCTGCCGACCAGGCGTATTAAAAACGAAAAAATTCTAAATCGCTCGCCGCCCGTAACAAACGACGGATTTATTTTCAACTGGTATAATATGAGAAAGCCGCCTGTAGAGCACGTTACGCTTTTTAGTATGTTTTACTTTTCTGTCGAACACTACTCGATCTGCTCGTATCTGTCCTAAATCATAACCGATGCCGCCTTTCCGAGAGACATAAAATAGTTAAGGGTTGTATAAACTTATTATTACGTCATAAACTAAATTATGTGTTTGGTGTTGTTACCTCTCCTCGCCTGTCAAACGAAGAAACCGTCTGTAAATGAATAAATTTTCCTGCGTTACTGCCCAGTGTGTTTWACATCATCACCGTGACTTTTATTCAATGAGCATTTGCTCAGATCCTATGCCTTGTAGCCTTGCAGCCTTGCAATGTATAACACGTTTACAAGACATACCTATACTTATAAAAAACTCTAAGGTTTCGTTTATAATTACTGGTCAAATTTAAAACTGGCGGCGCGTGACGTCAGGTCCGGTAAACATTGTACGCATTATTATGATATAGAACCATAATATAGCTCTCTCATTAAAACGCTACTCTGCTTCAGCTTTACGTCATAATAATATMGTTATTTTTACGACKGTGGTTCCCCTCGAGCGTATGGCACACGCCATCGGAAAAAAGTTCCCGATTCCCCGACGGGAATGAGTCACGCGGCGTGTGTAAAACGGGCCCCGCGTGCTGCATATACGCGCCGCGCGAATCAATACCAGGCGCACMAAGTCCTTTTTATCGTGAGCCCATCCTTTATCCCCTCCTTCCGAGATCGTTAAACCCTCGCAGAACTGACGAAAAGCCTCGGGGACGACGATCTATTGCCACGCGCGTACATTATAATGTATTATTATGTATTCGTGGCGTACATTTTTGTTGTTGTGCTGCTGTGGTATATATGGTAATATACGTACGCAAAAGCCGCGTGCCGCACACCCCTTTGACCGGAGCACCACCCTCGCTGCTTTTGACGCTGCTGCTGATGCTGTTCAACGACCCCGCGTCAACGGCCTTTATGCGCAGGGTTTGTTGTGTATTATTCCATTAAATGATTCGAATTGCGCTCTGTAATAAGAAATCAGCCTCTGTGGCGCTGCTGCAGCATACGCCCGTCCGTTAGAAGGGTCGATGTTTGGGTATACGCAGCCTTTCGGGATATTATAATACATTGAAACTTCCATCAGTGGGCAGTAAAAAAAAATTCTTATTAGAAATTCGTTAAATAGAATTACATAATTAAGGTTCTAATTTGGTTGTGGTTCTCAATCATATTTCATATAACTGTATAATAAACTAACGAACACTTTTAGAAGGTGTCATAAATATTTATAACGATTTCTACTTTTTCAGACATTTAAAGCTGTTATAACAATAAAACTGTATATTACCGACAATATTATACCCTATGAATCGTTATATCGGTTAGGTTAGGTGTACCATACATGCAAATTAAAAGTAAATCGGTATATTTTTTTAAATGACAAGTATATATTATAGTTCTTCTAATTTGGTTTTGGTTAATGTTGTGACCTWTGAAATACCAAATTTGAAACACTGTGATGGTGACGTACAATTCAGACAACATAAAATATTTGTTTTGTTAGCTTCCCGCAATTCGAATGCAGACCGATGACGTTACTACAGCGTAATCGTACGACTTCCAGMACGGCCAGCGGAAATACCATTTCCCGCCATCGCAGTCTAAGTGAAAACCGCAATACAACAATATTATATAAATCGTCGCTGAGAATCCCGTTTATTCGACTATTGTATCCCYCGATCAAGTTTCGAGTCTATAATAATAATATGAATTATAAACGCATTCTATATTATACATAGTTTCGGTTCGTTTCATCCGCGGACCGTGTAAATACTTTTGTGTGCAGGCTTTGCGTATATATGCGCCTGGTTAGGTATAATAATATTCAGCTACGTCGCTTTCACTGGTTTTTACAACAGAGCTCGCTCGCGTCACCGTCGCCGAAGTAATAATATTATGTACCTATTAATGTATACAACAATAAAAACTAAGGACGGCGCCGCTGCTWTAATAGATTGTTATAATATTATATAGACACATCATATTATTATTCTTTATTATACTCGAAGTGGTCAAAATGGGCAATTTTACTGTGTCGATATTTTTGATTTGATTTTAAATAGCACGTATCTATATGTACATAATGTATTTTTAGTGTGTGCTATTATATGGCGTATTGTATGATGATGAAAATATCGAAACAGAAAATCATTTTCAAATTTTCAGCATTTTTAGTGCCGCTGTGCGTTCGTTGCTTGTACATGTTCAGTGATAGTACTTTATGTGTTATGTCCTTGACAACTTGTTACTTTTTATAGGTAATGGTGATTTTTTTTCCTTATTTTCTGTACCTTCTAAACGTGCCTCGGCCCTCTACTTACCACCTGCCAAGCCGGTATGTACTATACGTTTGGTAAGACCGCTGGTAGGAGTATTATTTACTGCAGATAGCGGAGACCATCGTTTTAGAAATGGAAAGTTGACCGTTTTCGACGCACAATATTAGTAACGTAATATATTTATAATTGAAGATTACATTTTTATATTTTKATCGCTTTCTGCTGCACGGCTGCCGCTGCGAAGGCCTCGACACATGTCCGAGGACACTACGAATATTTGACAAATGACGCTCGCACGTCCAGGTGGTGGTGTCCCCTTTAATTTCGTATTATTTTCAAGTGTAAATGTTCAACCAATTTCAGTTGATTATACCGCTGGTTATATAAATACAATGATACTATACCTATATAATATAATAGTGCTGGGCAAACGCAAATTTGCACATTTTTTACGTCCTCCAGGACATTCAAGGATGTGCCCTCGACAAACACGCAGCTAAATGTTTACGTATTTACCAATGGCGTTTAAAACAATGTTCTGACTTGTAGTTGCGGATTATGATTATTATGACCAATGAGCAAATTAGCGCTTTCAATGTTATCCGATTCTAAAATCTGGTCAAATAGCGGTGCAGTCGTTGTGGAAGTGAGGTGTTGTGTACGCGACTTGGTATTATTTTTTTATTAGTGCACTATGACCGGCGTACAGTTTATTTATTATATTATTTCCGTAAATTTTATACTAGAAAAGTTCGACAAAGTTTACGGGTGAAAAAAAATCGATCATCGTCCATTTATCTAGTGTATATATATTTTTCATCATTATTAGTCCAATGCTGTGGTAGAATATTGTTATTAATTTTAATAATTCTCCTTTTAAGTATCAATTTTTTAATTTTCATCAACAATWACAATATTATTATTATATTTTTGCTCACATTATCAAATATATAATAATATACAACGTTATACATTCCTTTTGACCTTGGGCGCATGAAATCGATTTATTTTCGTCGCGTATCCAATCTTTGAATATTGTACCTTGACTTTGAAACTGTAGTGTTTTTTCGTAATATAATGTTTTATATTTAATATTGTTATTATGGTCATCCGTGTACGTATGTTGTTTACTGCACGTAAAAGTTGAGCACACGATGACATATATCATATATTATTATCTGTGTATAGTAGTTAAATGTAATAAAAAGTACTTATAGGCACTACTAATAAGTAGAGATATCGTCGATATTATATCAAATGTTTAATTCTGTTGTACGGAGGAAAAACTCGCTGCGTAACCAGTTAGAAGTTTTCTCGTTAAGACCAAATAATTAATATTTTCATTTTCATTCTAAAAACAATAGGACTGCCCGGTTCTTCTGCGACGGTGTTTATTGTTTGAACATTTTAATTGCAAAACATACAATTTGTGAGTTATCTTTTTTGGTATAGGCTTATATTACCTACTTTGAAATCTTATTTATTTTATTAATTATATTAAATATAAGATAGACTACGCGGCTGAGTTTTTACGCTAAAATTAAATTACTTAGACACTAACTACCTACCAACAAATTAGACCAACCARAACTCCAGTTTTCAGAAATATATAATAATGCTAAGGAAGATGTTTTTGTAAAGTTATGAATTCTATAGGAAATTACTATGAAATTGCGTAATTTATTTTTAAACACTGTTTAAATGGGTACTGAAATAAACCTTTAAATTATCAAACTTACCTGATGTAATACCATTGATTGTAATTATGTAATTTTCTTTAAAATAACTTTATAATTAGATTTCAATTTCCTTTAAATACCATGCCATATATATTCCGATTTATTATATATATGTTAATTGCAGTGATAACGTTAAGTGTGCTGTCATTTACTTTACGCTTCAATGTATAATAGATATTTTACGAGGTTTCCAATCCGTTTATGACGATAAGCACCTATGTCGTGTATATGTTCATAGAGTATATCTTTGAATACATTAAGTCATGTATTTAAGTACACGGAATATATTATGATCTAGCATTATAGTACACTTACGGTGATCTGTGGTGTAGTTAAACATGAGTTCGACGATCTGTCAAATGCAGCTTATAAAATATATTATATTGTACCTAGTAGTTTAGATAAACATACCATCATGTAGTACAACGCTAAATATATATATATATAATTTTTCTCATGTACAATGTACATATTATACTTGATAAATTAACTTTATCATAAAACTTACTCTTTACTAATGGTTTGATTTTTGATTTTCCAGACTGAAGGGCACCGGTGGCAGTGCTCTGGGTGGTGCGAGCAGCGCATTAGTAGGCACCAGCGGCAATCTAGGCGCGGCAGCAGCCGCTGCTGTGCTTAGCGGCGGTAGCAGTCGCGTTACGTCTTCGGGCGTTGAGCTCAGGGAGCTCAGGCGCCACAACTACAAGGCTTCTGTGTCGGTGCTGTCGCACTTGAACAAAGGCAACGCCGCTTCGCCGTACGTTARCATCGGAGGAGGACACCGACAACGTACTAGAGCCCACCGGGCCATGAACATGGGCCAGAAAATATCTAGTGAGTTTAATAATATTTGAAATGGCGCAGGATGTTGTATTATCAGGGATAGAGTTGTGCTTGCGGTACTTGCTGTGAGAACAACAACTAACCGCTCAATCCTTATCACCTCAAACTCCAAACCTTTTAATAATATGCACGGTAATAATCGTGTCTGCTCGATCGCCTCTCCGGATACACTCGGCAATTCGATGACAAMATGTATTATTTATTCGTAGCGCTGTTGTTTGCTGTCGTMATTATTGACTACGACGGATTTAGTCGAGTTTTCGCCACGGCCTTTTGTTTTTTTGTTTCCTCCCCGGTTTAATAATTATTATTGGCGTGTGTTAAAACGTTTGGCTATATGATGCAGTTTTTCATTATTATCATTATCATTATTCTCTTACGAATCTCGTGAACCCACAATATACAGTTATATGAATGCGCGAAGGGTGCAGCCGGAAAAAACGCGCCCCGTCGTCGTCCCGTAGCTCCCACCCTCCACCAAATCCAGTCCGACGCCGCCGCGAGTGATATTGCCGATCCACGTACACAGTTGAAATTGTCCGTCGGTCGCCGTTGCGCGTGTTGTGTCCGATCAGCTGTGATGTATATACAGAGCTCTCTGAAAATGTTTGTGCCGCGTGTAATCCACATAATATTATAGTTGCATGGTTTAATCGGCGGTTGTTTATTTGGAAAGGCCACTTCTCTGTTCATTATTAACGCGGCGAATAAAACGATAATATTCTATCTATAGTCGGGTCGTCCGAAAGTCGGCTAGCGGAGGATTTTAAGATACGGAAAAACGAGTTTTCTTATCTGACGAGTCAGCGGCGGCTGGCGTTTTGAGAATCGTTGGTCACGGTGCACACCACCAACGCATAAAAACGGAGTCGGCACACAATCGTCGTTCTGTGTCAGCCGTAGAAATAATAACATAAGTCTCAAATACTTCCGATCGTTTTCTGTTTATAATAAACCACGTCTGTCTCTCTGTGAATCTTTAGCGGACGTGCGTGCGTCGCTTTCGAAAGTTATCGGTATACGTTTTTGTCACCGCGTGTATATAGTTTCGGCGTATTTTTATTGATATTATTATTTAACGTCATTGTTTTCGTTTCGAATATTCTGTTCGGTTTATTGCCACACGCATTTTTATTGCATAACATTAATACTACCTATACCCGGTGAACCTCGCGAGACATGACCAACAACGGAACGGCGGAACCCGCTGCAGTCGACGGCGCCGCYGACAACACCACCGCCTTAGGTAAAAGTAAGTGAAACCTTACCACGGCATAGGAGGGACAACGCGTCCGATTCGAAATCTCGCGATTTTCTACCATGACCGCGTGTTTTTTGTGGTGTTATGCGCGCAGYCGTCGTTTCCGTCGAACTCTGCGTGCCCGGTACAAAACGTTTTCATAATGTTTTAGTCGACCATGTTGACGTATTGTCGTTGACAGTCGAGGCATCATTACTCCTTACCATCGGTCATCCTTAACAACAATCCGTACATAAAATTCACGTCTACGCTCTGGCACTACCATTTCATACTTTTGGTTATTGTCCTTATTTACTAATTATGTATTATCTAATCGTCATACGATTCGTGTGTTTCAGGTGGAGTTAAAACTGTTAGCCGCGAAAGTGCGCAACCGTACAAGCCCGTAGTACCAAGAGAGCTGGCCCAAGATTTTGCCCGTCCAGCCAGATTAGACATACTATTAGACATGCCGCCGGCGTCTAAAGATATGCAAATCAAACACGGCTGGAACGCGGACGATAGGTCTTTAAACATATTTGTCAAGGTTAGAATAATATATCATGTATAATTTTATGTGATATGTATTCTGTCGAAGTGTATCATGTTAACACACATCGCACTATATCGCCGGTGTCTTGTAATAAACGTGCTTTTGTCATTCTTTTATTATAGGAAGAAGACAAACTGACATTCCACAGGCATCCGGTTGCCCAGAGTACCGATTGCATCAGAGGTAAGACTGGCTTGACCAAAGGTCTGCATGTGTGGGAAGTAAACTGGTCGACCAGGCAACGCGGCACGCACGCAGTGGTCGGCGTCGCGACACAAGATGCACCTCTACACTCTGTCGGTTACCAGAGTTTGGTGGGAAGTAACGACCAGTCATGGGGCTGGGATTTAGGGCGTAACAAATTGTACCACGATTCGAAAAGCTACGACGGCATTACGTATCCGGCCTTGCTCAAGCCCGACGAGACGTTTATAGTGCCAGATAAATTTTTAGGTTTGTATACACCTYTTTTCGCTGTGTATACGGAGAGACCATTTTGTTTTGGTGATCCACAAGTCACCTGAGATGATCTTTTCATATACACTACAGACGTCATGCCCGTACAATAATAATTATTTATTATATCATGTCTTTCTTATATTTTGTTCACAGTTGTTTTGGATATGGACGAGGGAACACTATCCTTTGTCGTAGACGGCCAGTATTTGGGTGTAGCGTTTAGAGGCCTCAAGGGGCGGAAATTATTCCCAATTGTCAGCGCTGTTTGGGGTCACTGTGAAATTACGATGAAATACATCGGCGGACTAGATCGTAAGTATACTGCCAGCCGTTACAGCTTGGCTGATTTGACTCAATGCGACGTCGTCATATGATGATATATTAATAAAATATCGTTTTTCTTGCAGCTGAACCCTTACCGCTGATGGACCTATGTAGACGAGTTATTAGACAGCGAATCGGTAAACAATACCTAGAAGAACGCGTCATGGACCTGAACCTGCCGCAGTCTCTAAGCGTTTACTTATTATACCGGGACAGAAGATAACGGGGCCAGTAGCCACRCCGAAAACATTGATCAACAGATCTCAAACGTCGATCCGATTCCTCCCCTACTTATCTGTCCTATTCCCCGCCCTATCGACTCAACACCATCTCCTCGCCCACCCATTAATCACCCGTATCTCCTCTACCTCAGGCCAGTAACCGCGACGTTCGCTAAACTAGTCTCCCTCCCCATCGTGATCCCTCGTTCAAGTTTTCCTTAGTAACAYCCTTACCCTACCCACCCATGTAAATAATACTCGATGCAAACACCCCTTCCCTATCCCATTTAAATTACACAAACACGAAACTTTAAGTAACGACTGATGTATCAAGTGTCAAGATAGTTTTTTTTAAATATATTAATTAATTTAAGGTTTAGGAAAAGAAATTGAAGATAAACTTTTGTACAAAGTCCATAAAATGCCTATTCGGTATTAAAAGAGAAAGAAATTAAGCGCGCAACGTAAATACCGCGTATAATTTTCAACTTGTGAATTATATTATTCTTTTTATTTTATTATTATTATTAAAATTAATTTCTATCCTGGTTTACTTGTACTATATAATTATACGCGCGTGCTAAGGACAATGAAATCTTTTTTTTACCAGTTTTTGACTAATTATTTGTATATAACTACAAGTTACATGTTTTTTTCCTCGTCATTGTTTTTATATCACAAATAAATTATGTTTTGTAACTGAAATGTTCTTGGTATATTGTATTCGGAAGCTGTTTTTTATTATATCATTATCTTTTTTTTTTGGTAGTATCAAATCTATAACTACATTTTCTTTAGGCGAGTTAAAAAAAATAGTATTTCATTTATTATTTTTTTTTTGGTTGTTTAATAGAAGTTAATAAAAATGTTATTTTTTTGTGAAATTTGCGCTCCCAAAATTTTCTTAGGCAGAACGTTTAAAGGTTTAATTGTTCTGTTAATGAAAACAATATTATGAAAAGACATTTAATATTAAACATACATTTAAAATTAAAAAAAAATAAATAAATGTAGACTAATATTTAATTTATGTATGGAACGTTTGTAAATAAGTTAATAAGTTTTGTTTATTTTAATTTTAATAATTTTTTTTCGACGATAAATTTGTTGGCCGACAGCAAAACTCGTTTTGTGATAGATACGACTTAAGTAAAATATAATATATATACATATATTTTTTTTTTACATTTCTGTTTCTTGAAGAAAAAAATAAACCGATTGATTTGTAAATACATTTTTCTCCTGTGTAACTGTTCGAAACGTTAAGTACGAGACAATATATTTGAATATATAAAACAATATTTTCTAAGAAAAAAAATTGCATTACAATATTGTTACCATATTATTTAACGTTCAGCCGTTCAGGTACTACACAAATTTATGTTTTTTTTTTTTTTTAGTAAACATTAAATTTATTTGGGCACATGTTTTAGTTAAAATTTGTACGCGTTTGTTTAGCCAGTTGGCAGATTTTTGAGTGTTGATTTCTGCAGTTAATTATCTTCTTTTTTATTGAAAGAATGCAAAAACTAAAACAATAATTAGCCTTAAATGTATATTTTGTAAAAGATAATTTCGGAAAATGTGCAAAAGGTTTTTATTATTATTATTATTATTATTATTATTATGATTATTATTATTATTATTATTATTATGATTATTATTATCAATTATATTATACTTGTCAAGAAGTGTTACTGTCAAGTAAACTAATTAATATCAAGAAAGTGTGTTTTGCGTTTGTTTTGTTGTCGATCTATACTTAATATACCAACCAAAATTACCTTTTGATCTACATCACTATTTTATTTTTTAAACATTTAATGCGGTTTTTAATATCTTATTATGAGTTACTATGAGTTTTAAGTGAATAATAATACTTAAAAATAAAAAATAATAATTTATTTTATTTGACAAAATGATAAAATTGCCTCACAAATTTCCATTTACCAATGTTTGTTTTTAAATGTAGAAAAATAACCTGTATTTTGTGGCATTCATCAGTAAATAATATAATTATACTATGTAACATAACAAATATTGTTTATTTTATCATGTGCGATATTTTTATTTTTACCAATATCTATAAAATATGCTAAATATTTAATTTCTGTATTATGTTGGGTATTACATACTTWACTTTAAATTATAAACCTAAATTTGTTGAGTTAAAATCAGAAACATCTGTAAAATATATCCTCAACCACAACGGTACGATAGTAAACAATGATAAAATCAAATTTTGAACTTTTAKTTTACTTAAATAAACTATAAGCATATTTAACTTAGTGTAGAATATTGATATGAGCCAATATCCAATAATCAATAACATTTTGTTTTCTCCTTAAACCGACATTCTTATATATACAGTGAATTGGTTGTTACATATCAATCAATATTTATGAACTAAAAAAAAAAAATAATATAATTGTCTATGATCTAAGATAAATTGGCAATAGCCTTAGAAATTTACAATTATTTTATTTCCTTTCCTTGTACATATTTTGCTTTTATTTTCTACTTTTGTTTGATGTTTCATTAAGTAGATAAATATTGCATACTGATACAGCTGTACCTACCTATTAATACTAAGTAACAAGGTTTWCAGTACTAGATTCTATATAGTTGTTACTAGATGTACATATAAGTATATAACTTTATATCAGCTCGTACATCATTAATTTAAATGTTGAAAGCAATGAATTGCCCTAAAAGTCTGAAACTTTCTACAAATTCTGTTCAAAGCAAGTCCTAGGCAGATTATTATAATATTTCTGAATATACTTGTATTATATACTATAGTAGGTAATACAAATGCATTATTTGATTTGATTACTGAATGCTATTGTATCCCACAACTATTTTTATTTGGAATTGAGTATAGATTTGAATAGTTTTACTTGTATTCTAATAGTGATAACCATGGGTGTTGGGATTTTTTGTTCCTCTATGGAGACATTTTGATCCTTTTWAATATTTTAACAAAAAAAAGTAGGATATTTTGTTCCTTTAATTAAAAATCAAAAGGGGAACAAAAAATCCTAGAACGGAACAAAATATCCTAGTGTGACATTTTGTTCCACTCGGTAGACTTTTTGTTCCGTTTTGTGAATAATTTGATCCATTACAAAAAAGTCAATAACGGAACAAAAAATCCTAAAACGGGAAAAATGTTCTAGAGTGACATTTTGATCCGCAGAGATATTTGGTTCCGTTTCGAGGATAATTTGATCCTTTCWTAAAATGTAATTGGGGAAAATGTTATAACATATAGTTTTCACACCAAAACCATGTGGTCATTGCAACTATGATTAATTGCGAGATTTTGAAAAATGTTGTTGAAGTGTTTGACATTATATGTAATTTTACACAATGTAATAAATTAATACATTTAAAAAAACAAAATTAATATGATAAATAACTGCAATAATCACTAATCGGTATATATTCGGCTAAAATACCTTCAGCTGTAATATTTGTCAGATAATCTATTTTCGGTTAAACTATGGTTCTGCTAATATATACCTATTTGTCCAACAAATTATTTTTCGGCTAGAATACGGATCGGCTGATATATTATCGGCTATTTTACGTACTTCCTTGTGTAGGAACACTAGGAAACTTTATCTAAATAARTAAATAAAATACATCTCCCATAAAATATAACAAAACTTTAGATTATTTGCTTGGTAGTTGGTTATGTATAAATAAAGATATAATTAATAGGTAGTTAATACCTAACAAATATACAGCAATAATAATTATCAACTATTTTTTTTATATTAAGCCTCAGCGTCAAAGGCCATTGGCGTTGGTTTACAATAGGTTACATATATATACAATTATTTACAGGTTATATACTATTTATAAGCTTGGACTTAATTATAAATGTTACCATATTACTAATATTGACTGGGTGTAGGGCTTCTGATAAAATGTTGGATACACCTGCTTCCCGTGTGTCCGTTTCGTATATGCGGCATTYGGATATGTATCAACTATTATTGAAGGACGCGGGCGTCAATTTAAGGGGGTAAAATATAAATATATATATTTATTTATTTATATTGAGAAAAGTTCTTTTATGACTAACTGGTCTGTACAATTTGTATAGTCTTTCCCATTATCGTCTAGCATTAGTAACTTGCTACCCAATTCGGCAATTCATATACAGATAAGGTGTATTTTGCTTCCAATGATTTTCATCATTGCGTTAAATATACGTAATAGCCAATAGGTTTTCAATAATTACACACCCTGTAGCCGTTTTAATTGCCTAAAACGGATTTTATAATATATTACTTATTTTACAAGATTAAAATAATAATTATTAATGATGATATTTGTCATTGTGGTGATCATTGCTTTTGCTGGCACAAATGATCAAGATTAAAATTCTAGTACTTGCCCTTACCTACCTAGCTCCTTGCTTATTGCTACTTGAATGTTATTTTTTAAAACGATACAATTGACCTTCTCTATTGACAATGTTTGTCAACAGAGAAAATGAACTATGATAAGCAAATTTTGAGTGCCATATTATATTATAAAAATAATAGAATATCTAATGCATTAGATAAAATCAATATGAATCACTGTACCTAAAAGGCTAATAGTAAAGAAATACATTATATAACTAGCCTAAGTTATACACAATTTTATAGTTAGCAGTATATTTGTATATACTGTCAAAAGTAATATTAATATAAACAGAAGAACCTAGAAATATTAATTTGATTAATTGGGTGATGTTAAAAAATTGTAAATTTGTTTCCAATCAATTTGTATCATWGTGTTACATATAACGCATTATTATATATAATGAAACGCCTGGAAAATGTTACTTACGGTTGATAAAAATTAGAATTATAGCAAGTCTCTATTAAATGTTCATAATATTAATTAAAATATATTTTTTAATCTATATTTTTTTTTCAAACAAGCATAACAATATTCACAAAAAATTTCATAAGTACTAAGTAATTGCAAATAAAGAATTATAAAATTAATATGAAGGGGTGCTTTGGTAAAGTATAACACGTAGTTTTTTAAGAATTTTGACACAGTGGAGTACTAACTGAGCATAAACAAATGAAACATTTTAAACCAGAAATGTGCACAGTGCCCTCTAGGGTTCGAAACTTGAATACATTTTTAAGGGATAGAGCACTATAACGAAGTGCTAAAAAGCACTACCCTTACACAGTTACACTAACGAATTACAACAGTTAGCCGAAATATAAAATGGACTTAATGTCACCAATAAATTTACTTATGGTCTAATTGTAACCTCATCGGTTTTATTGTCACGTAGATGATTTACACAATAATATTAAATAAAAATACTAAATAGGTTAGTGGGTGCAAAACAATCTTTATAAGTTACCAAGACGTATATGATAATTAGAGTATAGTTCTACCATTGTTATACCTTAAATTCAAAATATGTAAATAAAATAAAAATTAACTTCAACATTTTTGTCGTTGAATACTATTATACTAAGTCACCGCTATACGACGTCGCGCGCGTGAACAGTGAAGAATGTATGCTAATTTGTATATACTTTTTGTCAATCCTACCGATGGACCTAATGATGAAAACTTCTGAAAACTCTGATTTTAATTCCTTAATGTGTCCTCTTGAAATCGATCAAGCCACATTTTAAGATTTTAGATTTATATAATGAATAATGAATACTTAAAAATTTGTCATTTTTTAAATATCCAAACCAAATTTAAAGGAGTTGAAAATCGACATTTTAAAAAGTAGACTGATCGATCTCAAGTATACATGTTGACAAATTTAAATCAGTAGAGAAAGAATGGACGTTAAAACTTTAAATCTTATGTTCGATAATAGGTA